TAAGGATTCGTCTGTAAAGTACGTTGAGCAGAATTTAAATAATAATTAGAAGTAAAAGATCATTTCCTCATTGGAGATCACTATTTTAATATATTACATTGAAAAAGAAATATAAATTTAAAATAATACTCTTAAAATCAAAGCGGTGACGATATATAAAGATTAAAAATAAATCAAATTAATTATTCTCAATAATAATTAATTAATATACACTGATTATTTTATAATAAAAAAATATATCATTCCTAATATATTTTCGGAAATCGGTGCTTAATTTGACGTGTCATCGTAAAACCACGTTTAATTTTGTGTTGATTTCATATTTACCTTTAATGTTACAGATGGTAATTTTATTTTTATTTTTGGTGCTGTCCAATCAATGTATGCAGCACTGAAGTGGAGTAGAAAAAAAAAAGAACACAAAAAAATGACCCCATGCTTTCCCGGAACACATTTTAATCTCAGGGGGGGGGGGGGGGGGGGGCGATTGGAAAATACTTTGACAAATTCCCAATTTTGTATATATATATATATACATATATATATATATTTATATATATATATATATATTTATATATACATACATATATATATATATATATATATATATATATATATATACTATACATATATATATATATATATATACATATATATATATATATATATATATATATATATATATATATATATATATATATATATATATATATTATATATATATATATATATATATATATATATATATATATATATATATTATATATATATATATATATATATATATATATAATATATATATATATACATATTGCGACTTCCTGTAATTTAATTTTTTGGTATAAATTGAAGTTTTATTAATTTGATCATTCATTTCTGATGAGTCTTTGTTGATGAAACACAGTGTAAAATAAAAAAAAATTTTGTTAAGTGATTTTCTACTAATATATATATATATATATAATATATATATATATATATATATATATATATATATATATATATATATATATATATATATATATATATATATATATATATATATAGACATAATATAGACATATATATAATCAACCTCGGAATTAGGGTTGGCATTCGGCAATGCCGACCTAACTGCCGACCTAACTGCCGACCTAGAAACATTTGAGGGCAGCAAAAAATCGCCGGCCTTGTTTTTTATGTTATATGGTCAAACCTTTGTTTTACATTTTTTCTGCTGATTTGATGCCGACCTCATACAGATTAAGGTCGGCAAATTATTGCTGACCTCACTTTTCCTAATTCCGAGGGCTGATATATATATATATATATATATATATATATATATATATATATATATATATATATATATATTAATATATATATAAACCTTTAAAAGTAATTTTCTTGTTATACGATAATAATAAAATATGTAAATTTCAATAAAAACGGCTGTGTATAAACTTTTTAAAAATATATATTTGTTTTTTATTTTAATATATTTTTTCCTTGAAACTATATACAAAATGTTATAATAAAAATACATTAAAATAAATGTATTAAAAAAAATATATTAAAATAAAAACAAATATATATTTTTAAAAAGTTCATACGCAGCCGTTATTATTGAATTATAACATATTATATATATATATATATATATATATATATATTATATATATATATATATATATATATATATATATATATATATATATATATATATATATATATATATATATACATATATATATATAGTATATATATATATATATATATATATATATATATATTTATATATATATATATATATATATATTATGTAATCACCAAGTTGGCTTTTTTTAAAAACTTGACAATATCAACAAAAGCAGGTCGATCTTTTTCTTCTTTCTCCCAACACCTAAAAGTAAACAGCTTAAAAGTTTCAACAAAAAAGTTTTGAAAAATTTCTTTTTTATTATAACATTTTGTTTATAGTTTCAAACCTCTTTATAAGTACTTCAAAGCATTGTGGTACACCTTTTATTTGAGCAGGCCGAACCCCTAGAAATAGTTAATAAAATAACTTTTTAAACATCTTTATTACATTTTTTTTATGTCATTTTAGTAATTAATGGTACCGTGCATAACTTTCCACATAATTTGACATGGAATTCCATCAAATGGTTTTTTTCTTGTTAGCATCTCCCACAGTATAATACCAAAGCTTAAAAAAAATACAAATTTTTTCATCTTGTTACTGAGCTCATTAGGTAAGAAATAATAAAATGTAATATTTAATATATGTAATATGTTAAATATTATAACATGATATAATAAATTAAAAGAATATGGTGTGATATAATTAAGTATAAGAATATGTTGTGTGTTAAATATGATTTATTCAATCTTTAGTTGTACTAATGTTTGTAAATAAATACTAAGTTTTTTTTTGTTGATATTATTATATGATTGCAATGTTATTGAGTTGTTGTCAATCTTCCCATAATGATTAATATGACTAAAGAGATTCTAAATTTGGTTAAACACTGTTGGCTCATAAAACTGTTGACCCATAAAAAGGTTTTTCTCAAGTAATCACATGTGAAATACTGTTGACCCATAAAAAGTTTTTTTCTCAAATTATCAAATGTGAAACACTGTTTACCCATAAAAAGGTTTTTCTCAAATAATCACATGTGAAACACTGTTGACTCATAAAAAGGTTTTTCTCAAATAATCATATGTGAAACACTGTTGACCCATAAAACTGACACACACAAAAAGGTTTTTCTCAAATAATCATATGATCAATATGTTTATTTGAGAAAAACTTTTGTTAGTTGGTTTCAAATTTGTTGGCTAAACTCAATTCTAGCTAGTTAGTAATGTAACTAATTAATGAAGAAAAAACTTATAACAAAATTTAACCAATTGAAGCATAACAGCATAATTAATCAGTTTACCGTACTAAAAAAAATTCAATAAAATAAATTTTACATGGAAAAGAGATACTCAAATAGTTAAAAAACTAAACTATGGAGACCTAAAAAAAGGAAAGAAAGGAAAAAAATTAAAAGTAAGCAAATAAAAAAAAAAAAAAAATTGGTACCCTTAAAATCTTGGAATACATAGTCTGTCAGGGTGTTAAGTTAAAATGGATACTATCAGTTAAATCCTGGTATACATAGTATGCCCATTAGGCTGGGATGAAAATAAACAAAAGTGCGAGCTTCATCAATAAACCGTACTTATTTGTCAATCCATGTATGAAACCAGTAGCAGTAGTAAAAAATTAAAATATTTTACAGGAAGAACTCCATTTTGACCCTTAAACATCAGACAGGTCCCTAAGATTATAGAAAAACAAATTTCTTCAAAAGTATCTCATGTTGGGTCTCAAACAAAGAGAAATTTTATAAAAATAGTCATTTTTTTTAACAAGCATTTTTATTTTTATAAAATATTATTATTTTTAAAATTTTTATAAAATTTCGGTTTTTTTGAGACCTAACATGGAATACTTTTAAAGGACTTTTTTTTCTATAATATTAGGGACCTGTCTGATGTTTAAGGGTAAAAATGGGGCGGTTCCCTATATCTCATATTAATATTTTTATGATTTTTTGTTCATTTACAGGTAGACACAAGAAAATATTAATTGATAGACGAAACTTATTATTTATTGTTATCTGAAATTTTTCCTCCAAACTACAAAACTCTAAATTTTAAAAAGTATGGGAAAAAAAAAACCTGAAAAATTAAACTTTGAGAAAACAACCTGTGCCAAGTAAAATTAGGAAGTGAGAATGGCACAGACAGAGTCAAAAGAAGTTTTTTCAGTAAGGATATGACTTTAGAACTTAACAAAAAGTAATTTTTTAAATTTTCATAAAAAAATTATAAAATTTTATTCATTCAAACTTAAAATATGTCAACTCTAATTTGACATATTTAAAATTGGATATAGAAGTACTACAACTTGTGGAAATCTGTTTTCTCTTAAACTTTAGAAAAATTCTAAAAAAATTCTAATAAGTTTTATAATATTATTTTAAAACTTATTAAACTTTTTTAGAATTTTTCTAAAGTTATTAATCTAGATCTTTATAAACTGACCTAGAATTTAGTGTTCTTTTATAATTTTGTATCGGAGTGTGTAAGCTTCCTGGCTGAACAATGCTAAGTAAAAACTTTTAATGAATTTTTATTTAATTATTGTTTTACAATAAAAATGCTTCCACTACTAAATGCTTATGGTGAATGTGTGAACCAAGCTGGTGGATCCAGCATTTTTTGATCTTTGAGCAAACTGCAAACAATTATATGTTTATAATTATGTCAAATAAGGATGCTTTGCAAAAAGTAGTGATGATTGGGACCTGGGAATAAAAAAATATTTTGCTATGAATGAGGGGGGAAGGCGATGGTTACATTATTTGACATAAGCATAAGCATATAAATGTTTGCATTTTGCTTCATATCTGGAGCTATATCAGAGACCAAAAATGCTAGATCCGGCCCTGGCTAGCAATACTAAAATAAATAAAACTTTTTGAACAAGGGAAAATCGTGAATTCAATGGAGATTATGCAATCTTTGATCGTGAACAAAAAATTGGATGAAAAACCAATAAAACTACAAGTCTCAAAGTTATTGATCCATCTAAAAAAAAACCAATAACCCTTGAGGAAAATTTACTAATAATTTCAGCAACTAAATATTCAGTGTCACATAACTTTTTTATTATAATAATTCTACATCTGGCAATGGGAACCAGATACCCAGTTAGATAGTTATTTAGTATCCAAGATTTCTAAAGAAAGTAGAATAAAACCAAAAATGCAACATCTTCATATTTTTCTACAAGCAAAAAAATATTTTAAAGAGCTCTTTTAAAATGGAAGATTGAAACAAATTCTCAATCTAGGAGTTAAAGAAACATTATTACAAGAACTATTTTAAAAACTTTTAGATGATTGGTCATTTTAATAGAAAAATGTGTGTATTGAAATAAATGAAACAAGAAAAGATAACTTAGAAACAATAAATTTATCGTATAAAAAAGCAGATATTATTGTCAAAAAAATTATACCTTTTGTGGATAAATACAATTTAAAAAAAGGCATAAAATTTTTTGTTACAGACACAAACAAAGATGTAAAAGCCAAAAGAAGGAACAGGATTGCTAGACAGTTATAAACATTTTTTGCTCAAAAGAAGTAGGAAGATTCATATCTTATTGGGTGTCAACATCATGTTTTTGACAAGGTGCTTCATATAATAATGAATGTAGTGGTTACCTAACCAGTATTTTCCTTTTTTACTAATCAAGCCCTGGTTTAAGTGTCAAAAATCATCTATAAAATAAAAAAATAAAAAATTTAACTTGGCATTGTCAATCTTGATTTTAAAAATGAGTTGGCAACAACCATGGCAACAGAGGAGTAAAAACAGTAATTATTGTGTAAATTTAGATTAGTTGTGATCATAAGATTTAAATTTTTGTTATTTATATAATAAGATCGAAGGTGAAGCCTAGAAGACATCAAAAGTGTTCCTAGGTACCAGATTAGAATATTATTTAAATAGTTTTTTTTTTTTTTTAAAAAACAAACTATTTTTAACAATAACAGAACCATGTTTTAATGTTTCCTCTTATTTTAATATGTTTAATAATATTTTTAGTGCGCATCATGAAGTATCTTCCCAGATTGACGAAATTAACAATGAGAAACAAGAAGAATATAGAAAAATGTTAGACCACATAGAGCAAAAAATGGAGTTAAAAAGCAATCAAATACATATTAATAATATCTCATATCAAAAATCATAAAAAGTGCAGTTCTAAAAGTAGAATAGTTAAAACATGTAAAGTAAAGGATAACTCGCAAGATTCTAAAGTAAAAGGTGATGAATCGCAAGATATGATGAAGTCTAAAGATAGCACTGCAACATCAAAAAGTTCTATCAATCCGCATTTAATAATGTTGAAAAAATCAAAATTGCTTCAACAAACTTTACGAAAAGGGGATCTCCATTAGGAATAACTATTTGAATGTTATTTGTATGTGTGTGTGTGTGTATATATATATATATATATATATATATATATATATATATATATATATATATATATATATATATATATATATATATATATATATATATATATATTCTTAAATATAAATATAAAATGTTACTAATTTATTTTAAAAAATATTTTTTTAAAGAAAAGATTGTGAAGTTGTTGTTTTTTTTTCTTTTATTTCTTTTTTACAATATTTTCAATCAAATAATAAATTAATTGATTAATAATAAATATTACACCTCCGCTGACATAAAAAAATGCATTAATCTCAAATAAATTTCAATATATTATTCACAAAGTAATATATTAAACAATTATTAAATATAATAGCTGAGATCGGACCTGTAAAAAATGCGGGTCTTTGTCTATTCCAAACTGAACTTTTCTATACTTTTTCCCAATACATCCTAGCTTTCCGGATCCATAAAATACGGGTCTTAACCAAGCCTACCATTTCTATCTATATCTATTCCGCACTGATTATTTATATACCTTTTCCTTATCTATTTTAATATTTTTTAGTAAAACAATTTATTCTGAAAAAAACATTCAATAGTAAAAAACTTAACATGTGCACCTTTTCCGCATATGTAGAGCTTATGAAAGTCTTAGAATTAGGTTTATTTTTTTACTAAATGCATTATAGCTCAATAGATAAGTGCGGTATCATCAGTTTTGTTTTGGGGGGTTTAAGACTTTCCCTCAGCGTAATAAACTTTGATATTTTTTTAATAATGCTTATATACTTATAACAATAAATAATTATGTAGCAAAAAAGATTTCTAAAATTTAAAATTAAATTTTAAAGTTTTCTCATTTTATAGATATATTATACGCAATTATCTCTATATAATGCATGCAAACTCAATATATGCTAAAGACGTTTACACTTACAAGATCTTTAACTAAGAAGATCTTAGACCACTAAAATAAAAGTCATAAAAAAAGTGCATTCTAATAATTATTATTAAAAACTAAAGAATAATATAGCCTCAGCTATTAAATGCTAATCAAAAAATTAAGCCAAAAATATTTTTCTCATTGACGTTTATAAAATAAACCTTTATGCGTCAAATTTTCTTTTGCATCTTACATTTTTGATTAATTTTAATTGTTGCATACAATTGCATAAAAATATATAAAACCGGTATAGATATATTATTTCATGGATAAGAGATTGTATTTATTACACTAGTAATAGATAAATAGTTTTGTCTTTATTACAATATATCCCATAAAAATATATTCCATCTATTTTTAATACTAGGAGTTTTTTTTAAAAATTTAAATCAAATTTTTTCTTGTTTGTTTTTCTAGTTTTTTTGCCACAAAGTGATGTCACATATGCAAATAAATTGTGGCTTCTACAATTTACGAAAAAGCCTCGTCTATCATTTTTAATGGTCTAAGAAGCAGATAACGTAATTTTAGCAATCAGAAATTATCAAGAGAGGGGCAAATCTAAAATTGAAAAGTTTACTTATATACCATCCTGAATAAAACGTTATATAAGTGGTTTTTTTACATTTTTTAAACAATATACATAAACAAATAACATATTTGTTTATATATATTATTTATAAAGAAATGGTAAAGCGCCAAACCTACTTATACAATAAAGTTTAAAAAAAATTAGTTTTATATTAAAAAAAGATTCATATGTTTCTTTGCAAACACTGACATAGTATACTTAAAATTTTTAAACACACTGAACTGCAATTACTTTTAATTTTTTTGGATTAGTGGCATTTGTTAAGAGCTTTCTGCATCAAATTATCTCATTTTAGCATATTGGTTTTGATAAATGTTTAACTTGATAAATGTTTTAGTATGTTTTAACATATGTTTTATCATTACTTAATTTAAAGTTTACGTACGTTAGATATTTGGATACACGTTCGTTCACGTTTTCTTATAAAACAAAGCTGCTGCGACTCTTTCTCGCCATTACCTCACTTGAAATGGCTGCCAAGGGTACCATGTCAAACAGGCTCGAAAGCGCACTACTACTAACACTAAGTTCAGTATTTTTAATTAGATATTTTTAAATAAAAGTTCCATCTTAATTATTCTGTCTTAATTAAAATTATAAATATATAATAAAACAAAATATTAAATTACTACTTCAAGTCAAGTCAATCCTATGTAGCTTTAACTATTACAACAAATTTTAATTGATTCTAATTAAATTAAAAAAAAAAAAAAAAATTAACAACAACTTTGAGATTGAACTTGTTTTAACATAATACAAAAACAAATTTATGATCTGTTAACTGAAGAAATATAAAACAAATTGTATTAAATTTTTTTTAAATTAAATTAAAAATTAAAAAACTTATTCTATCATTATTAAATTTTATTAAATTCAAATCTTTGATTTTAATTTTTTAAACATTTGATTTTAAAGCACTAAAAAAATATTGAATTACCTATAAACATCACACTTCTCACCATATCTTGAACCTAAAAAATAACTAAGTAAACTTATTCAAAACTAAATTTAAACAAATATAAAAAAATTATGAAAAATAACTTTATCTTTTTTTTTTTAACAACTACTAAGTAAATTTTTATATTTTTTTAAAACATACATCAATAAAGAAGTAAAGAATGCAAGAACAACAGATCACTGAAATCATTAAAAAAGAACACAATGAAAGAGAATAACAGTACACTTAGCACAGTGATATAAAACACAATAAAACAAAAGAATTAAACACTGAGCACAGTGAAACAGAACAACAGAACACTGAGCACAGTAAAACAGAACAACAGAACACTGAGCACAGTAAAACAGAACAACAGAACACTGAGTACAGTGAAACAGAACAACAGAACACTGAGCACAGTGAAACAGAAAAATAAGCTTTTTATTTAGTTCATTATAAATATTTCTTGTATTTTAAACATCTTAAGATTTTATCAAACCATTTGTTTAATATATAAAAAAAATAACAACAAAAACAATCATGTATATATTGAAAATAACTACTAATAAAACATTATTAAAAATTGAAAATCTCTTGAAATAAAAAATTAAAGTCAAAAATATCAGAAACATTTTGGATTTTATGTGTGTAACCACCAAATCAATTACACAAAAAAAATACACATAAATATAAGTTTACAAGTATATAAGTTATCATAAGTTACTTATACCATTTTTTTGTATACAGAAATGTTAATAGACATTAGTTGCAAAATATAGCTTTTTTTGTTAAAATGTGTGGCAAAATTTTGGCATACAATTTTTTTAGCACACAAAAGTCATTTTTACACTTTACTGCAGATTTAGGTCTGCATGAAACATCATTAATGCATTTGTATTAATAGAAATAAACAGGTATTATACATTAACACACAAAACTAAAAAAAATGTGAAAAAATATCTCTTGCTATAATTGGAAGTTTTTATTTTTTTGGATAGTCTAACATATAATCTTTTTTAACTTGATCATACTGATTTGATTCTTTTAAACATTTTAAAAGGTTGCACTTCTAATATTTCTTCATTCAGAAATTCTTTTTATCATAAACTTAAAAAAACAAAATAAGAAATATTTTTGTATCTTGATCATTAAATTATATTAAAATAAATTAAAAAGTTTTTTCAGCTCCAAAAAGAACTATACCTTTTTTACAAAGAACGCACCAGCATGTCAAAGCACCAGCTTTAATAATTTCTAAACAATCTCCTAAACATCTAGAAGTTTTAATTATATTATCAGTTGGTAGCATTTCCAAAACATTAAAGTGCTCAACTGTTTTTCTAACTGCTGGTTCAATTTGTAGATAACTTAAAATCATTTTTGACTTTTCCAATATTAAAACCAAATTTTAACTAAAATCATTAAGATAACAGCGTTTAAGGATTTAAACATCTTTTAACATGTTTTAAACATTTTTAAGGTCATCTTAGAAGTTAGCCTTTAAAAAAGTCTTGCAATCATTTGAATTTTTTAGATAGTGTTTTTTTTTCCATCAAGCTCACAGAGTTTAACAGCTTTTTTGTTATAGCAATAATTCTTCTTGATTGACAGAGGTTTGATAATTAGTTCAACTATCATCATTATCAACTTCTTCAGTGCCCTCTTCTATGTTGTAACAACACCAACATCATCAGCTTCTATGTTATCACAGTATAGAAAAGGATGATAATGAACAACAAAACCTTGATTTTCCACTAAATTATTTGTTTTTTTTTTAATAAAATACATCAACTAATGCCAAGTAAATTTCATGAAAAATACATAGTTAATAAGTTATTTAAAATCTTCTGTTTTTTTTTTTTATTATTATTAAACTGGCTTCATCTGTAACTATTCCAAAATATATTTGAGATTAAACTCCAAACCTTTAAGGTTTGTTTCAATCAATTTAAGACCATCTTAGCTTGCTTTGAACTTGGAATTTTATGACTATGACCAGCCCTTTTTGAATACTTTATGAATACTTTTTGATAATTTATAAATGGGAAATTTTTTTTTGATAATTTATAAATGGGAAATTTTTTTTTGATAATTTATAAATAGGAAATTTTTTTTTGATAATTTATAAATAAGAACAAGATCAACAGCAATCATTCAAGCCAAATAAATTCAGAAGAATCTTTCTAAAAAAAAATGGCAACAATCAAAAGTCGACCTCTTGGATTAGGACTTGAATTTGAACTTAATGTTTATTCTGATGATGAAATATGGCAAGAAACCTCTGTAACTCTTTTTTATTTTTATATCTTCTACTTTTCCTAAATTATAAAGTAATAGCATTGTTGCCTTATAAGTTGAAGGAGAATATTTATACTTAATAATATTTTTATTACTTGTTGAATTTAATACATGTTTCTGAATTTTAGATTTTTTTGAAGGCTCCACTCATTCATTTTCCTTTTTTTTTTCAAATATTATTAGAATAAAACAAAACTAGATAAATAAAAATAATAACCAAAAGATTAGATACATATAACGACTGAGGGTTTGGAGCTGGTCTCACAAAAACCAAATAGGTCTAGTAAATTTTGAAATTGGTAAAAGTTGACAGAAACATAGTTACTTGGAAGACCACAAATAATTGTAAAAAATGGAATAAAACAATATGTGATAGTGAAAATAGTTTTTTATGCTTCAAAGTGCTTCAAAATGGTTCTCCATCTGATACAAAACAGCAGTAGGTCCATTTGCCTAGGACTTAATGCATTTCTTTGTACTATTTCTGGAGATTGAAAAAAGCCTAAGGCTATAGAACTTGAAAGATAACAGGATAATGATAAGCAGTGCTTATTAAACATTTAGTAAAGATCATTTTTTTATCTAAGTGCTTAAATAAAAAAAAAGATCTTTACTAAACGCTGTACACAACCCAATGCTGGGTTATCACAGTTTTATTATAATAACTACTTTTTGAGGGTAGTTGAATTTTGACCATCAAGAGTGATTTGGTTAGAAAACTATAAATCCCTGTTGGGTCATGTTGAAGATGATCAGAAATTCTCAGATACTTTACCAGTGACATTAGAGTTAAAACAAGATATTGTTGCTTGATTGGTTTGCTAGTGAAACCCTTGTGCAACTTGCACAAGAATAAACATAATTTTCCGCCAAATCCATAAGAATAAGACATGTGTGATAGTATAATATTTTTTTAATCTTTAATAAATACAAGGGTAATGTTTCTTTCATAAAATTATATGAAATTATAGACTTATAGTTTTAATGAATTGGATAAAGCTATATCAACTTGGGTCAGTTAATACATATTCTTGGTGAGTGATCTTATCATCAAAATCATTCTTCTTAAAGATATTTTTCAAGTAGGTCTTGTTTTTAACAGGGCAGTTGGTACATAAATAAAAGTGTCTGATAGTAAGAACATACACAAACCAAGATCCACAACTATCAACTGTAATGTGCCTTTGTTTCAACTTTGTGTTCAGGGAATATTGAACTTCAAATATATTTCCTTTAAAGATTCTATTATTAGGTTTTTTCATGTAATTCTACGGTGCACACAGAAACTAAGTTTTTTTTCCGACCTTGCCTTGTCAGATTTGTAAATTTTACCAGCATTTTGTTTAACAGAATGCTCATTTTTAACCTGCAGTTTAACAAGCATGACTCTTCACTTTTCATCTTTTGGTCTTTCTTAACAAGATGCTTTAAAATTTTATAAACTTTTACAAGTTTTTTTAAGTTTTTCAATTGACCAAAATTTTATACTTAATGTTAGTAGCTGAATTTTCATTCCTTCATACTTACTTATTTTTTTAATTACCCCTTAAGGTTATTACAGTTTATGAATTTCTATTTGTTTAATATCCTATTTTGCCATTTTTAAGTCTAATATCTAGAAAGAGTTAGACATCATTAAAAGAGGCTTAAGTTAAAACTTATGAGTAGATTTAAAAGTTTATCCACTGTTCATCATCCAATTCCATTCTATTAAAAGGATAAATTATATAAAAAAGTAAAATTAACATTTAAATGGTAAAAATGGTAAAAAAGAAACAAAAGGTCAATCTAACCAAAATTATTAAACTAAATAAGCAAAGTTATGTTTTTTTGTGAATTCATTATACTTTTTTTTTGTATCAGTTGCATGCAAAATACTTAATTTTACATTTAATTTCTACAGTTTTAAATAAGGTTTTTGTCACAAACACCTTTATGCGGTAAAAAGCCCTCACTTTATAAGCAAGAGGTACAGAGTAAATACCCATCATGTTTTTAAAAATAGCATTTTAAACTTGTTTCTCTGTACAGCAACTATTTGTCCAGCTTCATGTTTCACAGTTATAGGATTGAAGAGGAATATAGCAGTCATAAAAAAAAAATAGCTCCCTAATATATAGTAATAAAAATTCAGTTTTTTGAACAAAATATTTTTTATTGCAATTTTTCTATTTGGACTACTGAAATTTAAATGAGATAAAGATGTTTTCTGAACAAAATTTATTTTATTCTTTCTGCTTAAATTATTTAAGTTTTTTGAAATAGTTCCTTTACTTTTTATTTATTGATAACTTTTTCTTGGAACAAGGTAAATAACACAGTAATACACTTTCTTTGTAGTAGCCGAAGTTTAGAAATGCAAGTTGCAAAATATTAAAATAAAATTGTATAAGAAAAAGAAAAAAAGAATTGCCTTTTTGTAATTAAAAAAAACAATTAGGTTTTTGTCTAATTAAAGCTTTTTTATGACACATCCATATATTTTATAGGGTGTCTAAAATATTTTAATTCTTTTTTCTACAAAAATTGAAATAAAATAAAAATTTCTGCAAAAATGGGGTCAATTTGAATTTATACATAATGTAATTATAATTAAAAATAACAATATGAATTTATTTATAATGTATTTATATTTAAAAATAACAATATGTATGAGATGTTTTCAATGAAAATCTCAACTCTCAAAGTCAACTCTAAGGTCGATTTCCAAATCAACTCTCTGATAAAGATAAAGATAAAGGTTATAGTTTTAATGAACACCACCTTATCAGCTCTCTAATAAAGGTGGTGTTTTTAAGCAAGTTTCATATTCTATCAATTTATTATTGAATGTAAACTTTTTTTTTTTTTTTTTTGATGGATCCAAGTGATTTGATGTGTGGTTTTGGATTATTTGGTGATGGTTGAAAAACATTCTTGATCTAATTTTTCTCAGCTAAATCAGTCAATGAATACTTTGTTGCTTCTTTTCTATGCAGCTCTTAAGACACTGCTACAAGCACTACTACATTATGTTCTTACATGAATTCTTTATCAATATTATACAAGCACTACTACATTATGTTCTTACATGAATTCTTTATCTATATTAAAATTGTTACAGAAAATTGGTATATTTCTTATTCTCTCAGATATCATTTAAATCTAAACCAATGCTTTGTCAAAATATTAAATTCTAAGACTCTTTCATATAAAAAAAATTAAAAAAATGAAGAAAAATTGTATTATATAAAAAGAACCTAAAAAACACCTACAAGTTGACTTTAAGAAGTGAAATTTTTAATGAAGCTAATCATACATAATCCACTTTTACACTTTACTTTCCACAAAAAAAAAAAAAAATTCAAAACACTCTAATATTAAATTACTAACTTAAAAATTCAGCTATTCAAGCTACCTTCAAATACCTCTGGTGCCATCCAAGATGGAGTTCCTTTATTAGAAGTCATATCTGAATGAAGATGACAAGCTGCACCAAAATCGCAAATTTTCAAAACAGTGCCAGATTTCATCAATAACATGCTGCATATTAAGATATTTTACAAATAATAAATGTGAAAATTTAAAGATTGATTTTATTTTTTATTAAACTCAATATGAAGTTTATTGAAAATATTCTTTGATTATGATACAAGCTGTTAAAATTTTGTTCTCTTGTTCTGTTCTGTTATTTTGTTCTCTTGTTCTGTTCTGTTATTTTGTTCTCTTGTTCTGTTCTGTTATTTTGTTCTCTTGTTCTGTTCTGTTATTTTGTTTCTTGTTTGTGTTACGAGTCATTTATTTGTGTTAACATTAAATTAAATAAAAAAATTTTAAATCTTAATTGAAAAAAAAAAGAAAAAAAAAACAGATTAATTTTAATAAAAATATATTTTTAATATGTCTAACTTATTCTTAGCAAATTTTTTTGTTTATTTTAAGTCAAAATCATGGTTGATAGTCAAAGATAGATTATAACTAAGTAAGTAATGAAATACTTTAATGGTTTCAGATCTCTGTGTATAATAGGTTTTGGCTTTATATTGTGTAGATACTCAACTGCTTCAGCACATTGCAATGACCAGCTTAACACATGAGCAAATGTGTAATGAATTGCTTCAGTATCAAGTGGTGTGTGCAGCACTTTAGGTAACAAAAAAAAACAATAGAATTTTGAAACAGATATAACAAAAAATAAATAAAATAAACAAAATAAATTTACTTACAAGTGTATAATGAACCACACTCTGCCAACTCCATCACTAAACATTGCTTAAAAAAAAAACCTTTTAACATTGTATAAGTAAATAGTCTAAAACTTCCAAAAAATTGAATGCAGTTTTCAGCGGTAAATCAAAAAAAATCATGCATCATCAAGCAAGATTTTTGCTGAATCATGCTGAACTTTAACTATAATAGTAGAAGTAATAATAGTTGACATTAAGCTTACTTTTATTTACTTTTTAAATCATTTTTATATTTTTCATATTTCAATTTCCAGTTATTCAAATAAACTATTTAAAATTAAAATTTAATAGTTGTTTTACTTTTGGTCCATTTACAATTGTTCCATATAGTTGGATAATATTTTTGTGTTGCACCATTGATAAACGCTTTGCCTAAAAAAATTTAGATTTAAAAAAAAATTGAAAATGAAATAAAAACTTTACGATAGCAATACTTTGCCAAAGATCCAAATAAAAATTCATAGTATACATCACAATAAGTTGTGAAGATTGCTAGTTTAAACCTTAGTAAATTTGTTAAAGTTCAACATTTACTTCATCCTTGAATTCTTTTGGATCATTCTGATTTTCTATAGTTTTTATTGCAACCATTTTATTCTTCCATATTGCTTTCTGAACAGTTCCATATGCACCCCTACCAATGATCTTGAATTTAAAAAAATTAATTTTTTGAAAAAAAGTAACATTTAAGCTTTGCTATTGAATAAAAAGTAATGTATTCAGAAAAAAGAAAGAAATCAGAATATATATTAACAAACACTCTTACTTCAAATGATGTAAGCTCATTATAATCTATTTCATTAATAAATCCACGTGGAGGAGATGAAGGTAAACCACGTGAAGGAGATAAAAGAAACTGCTCTAACTTATTTTGAAAATCTAAAAAAAAGCCAATATAACTATTAAGAAAATATACTGATTTACTTAATACTTTCTGAATACTGGTTGTAATGAAATTCTTATCTTATTATCTATTTTCTACCTCCATATATATATAATATTCCATATGGCTAATTCCATGTAACAGGTGGACAGTCATTTCAGTCACCCATCAGATTTTCTTTAAATTTTAACCACTGGTACCTAATAATGAACATGAAAAAATGTAAAGTTTGAGTTCCTAAATCCAAACAGTTCAAAAGTTATGACATTTTAAAATTTAGCCTAAAACATCCCTTTTTTTTAGCTAAATCCAGTATTACGGTTTTTGTTGTTTTACTTTTTAATAAAAAATTTAAGTTCTAGTGAAAGAATATGGCTAAAAATTGATACCCAACCATTTTTGAGATTGTTCTGTTACCATGGATTGCACTAATACTATCTCCTTGAGTTGCCCAAGTCTCATGGATTTAATTTTTTTTTTCAAATGAAAGAAGAGATCTTAGGCAATCTTAATAAAAGAGATGGTTTTGATTTCTTGAAGCTTAATAAAATAAGGTCATTTCAAAATTGAGACAAAAAAATCTTTTTTTAAACTCATATTCTCTACTTAAGCTGTAGTGAAGGAACATGACTGAAATTTGGTGACCAATTTTAAAGGTGATAAATCCAAAGATAAAGAGAAAACAATTCAATCCTAATTATTTAATAATTTTTTGATTTCAAAATGTTGCTAGTCAAATTTTTTGTTTTGTTAGCACGGTTTATGTTTTACTCATTTTTAGAGTTGCCTGTAATTGTGGTAATAAGAGGTGCTAAAAATTTTAGATTTCTGGAAGAAAAAAAAAATTACATTTTATTTCATAACTTGCATATTTATTCAATATCTTTTAAAGTACATATTAAAATATAATTTGCATTACAAAAATTAAAAATATAATTTCTTTATTAATTAACTATACTTTATTAATTTAATCAGCACGTCTAATAATTAAATATTGTTTTAGAATATTGTGCAAATTTTATGTTACATTTTCAAGATGTTGAAATTACTAAAAAATCATCATTCTCTGTATCAGACCAAGCCAGTAAAATTTGCAAAATAGGTTTTGTGACATCATAACATAATCAATTTTAATAGTTTTATATTTTTGTTAGAGCAAAACCATCATCATCAGACACCCTTTTCATCTTTATATTTGAAAGAGAAGAAGGTACAAACTGATGGAACTTCTTGTTTGCTTGCTTGTACAAAAACTTCTTGGAAAAGAGGTTTTTGTACAAGCTCCATTTCATCAGCAACGATGTACATAAATATAATTCCACTAACTGACATTTGATAAAAAAAGTCTATTAGTGGAATTATACAACATCTTTAGCATGGTGACATAAATTGTAAAAATGTTTGCAGTTCTTATACTGCCCTACACAACCATCAGAAAAATAATGGATTTTTGTATATGTGGGACAATTACAAAAATCCATTATTTTTTTATAAGATTAGCTTATGATTTATGATTTTATACATAACTTCATTGATAAATCCAAGATCATGATTCAAATCACCTGAAATTGCGCAAAAAGATGAGATGAAGTAAGTTATGATGCCTTTTTGGTCGCGTGAAAAATTTACATTTTTATTTTTGCATTTCGAAACATAAAACACTTTTGCTGCTTTTCTGATAGACCAAAATTTTGAGGTTTGTGTCAAAATTTGAAGTTGCTGCCTTCTGTTAAAAACTTTAAGGTTTTTCTTTCATGCATTTAACAAGAAAGTCTAGATTTCCAGCTTTGGTTTGAATCTCCTTTAGAACTTCATTGTTGTTTGGTCCAGCAAGATCAGATTCAGTAACACCCAGAGCAGTTGCAAGTTTCTTAATAACTGCTTCTTCAAATTGCTTTATTGTTGTCTTTCCAAGTGAAGGTTTGTTATAGGTTTAAGGTAAATGAACTTTTAGAGGATTTCAAGTTCACATACTGTTGAGCAATGATCTGCTTGATTCTAGCGATAGTTGATAGCGATATAATTGATTTCAACTTCTTTCTCCATATCATCTTAAATTACTTTTACTTCTAACTCAATCTCTTCTGTCTTCTGATTGTTTACTTGAAGTTAATTGTCTGCATTGTGAACGAAGCTTCACAATGCAGACAATTAACTTCAAGTGAACAAATGCAGACAATTAAGTTCAACGAACTACCTGAAAAAAAAAGAACTCTTTTAACCTATATAAAAATGTTATTAAGAGAAATTAAATTTGAAAGTTGTATGGCATTTAATTGTGCTCTTTCAGAACATTCACTTTCTATCGATGACTGAGAAACTGAATTACAAAATAAATCTCAATAATTATTTAATTTAAAATTATTTCATGTTTTATACATTATAACTTTCAAAACTATTTTTATACATCTTAACTGGCATAACTATATTTATACATCACAACTGGAGTTACAAAACTATATTTTTACATCACTGTTGTCCTCACAAAACTTTACATCACAATCAAACTCAAAAAACTATTTTTATAAACTAAACCCATGAGAGTAAGGCAACTCCAAGATTTAGAGAAAGCGCTCTGTTTTATAGTAGTGAAACAAAATATTTGAGTTATTATTTTAAAATAAAAATTATCAAATCTTTTGATTTTGGTTATTTTCTTTTCATATTTGGATTCAGCAACTTCAAAAATAGTCAGGTACCAATTTTTAGTCATACTTCTCTACTACAACTTCAATTGTTCACACAAAAATTATTGTTAAAAAATCTATAATAGAGAATGTGAGCCCAGGAACAAGGAATTTTTTATCTAAACTCCAAATTGACATATCTTTATTATTCTTCAAGAGACCAAAACCATATTTATTTACAAAGTAGCCTAAAATCTCCTCTTTTATTTGAAAAAAAACTTAAACCCATGAGACTTGGGCAACTCCAGAAGGTAGTGAAAGTGCAACCACGGTGGTAAAACAGAAAAATTAACTGATTATTGGGTCAGTTTCACTATATTTTTGAATTCAGTACCCTCAGAAATGATCAGGTACCAATTTTTAGCCATATTCATTCCAGAACTTAAATTATTCATTAAAAAGTACAACTAAATCCATAATGCCAAATTTGGGGGAAAATAAGACATTTGAGGCTGAATTTCACTATGTCTCAACTTTCGAACCATTTGGATTTGGGAGCTCAAACTTTACCTTTTTTTATGTTTCATTGATAAGCCCAACTGGTTAAAGTTTAAAAAATATTTGAAGGAGTGAACGAAAATTTTAAGTTTTTATCCCACTTTTACATGGAATTACCCATTTATTTAACAATAAAATATAAAAATTTACAATAATAAAATAATAAATTAACATGAATAAAGCCACTCAAAATATTATTAAACTACACTTGAACATTTTACTATGTATAACTAATGATATTATTTACAAAATATCAACAATTATACACAGCATCGTAAAAAACTTCTTTTGAGAAAGCTAACTTCTAGACATGAAGTGATTTCCAAACATTTTTATGTTCATGTTTATGTCAAATATGGATGATTTGCCAAAAATTGGACCCAGGAGTCAGAAAATTTAGATCTTTGTTTGGCAGTCAGCCAACGAGAACCTTTTTTATTTAATTCATTGACAATTTTCAATTTTCATGCAAAAACTTCTTGGCATTTAAAATTTATGACCATATAAAGTTTGAATCCACCTCAAATTAAGGAGATAACTAAATTTATATGGCCATAACTTTTGAAAACTGAGATTTTACAATAAAAGTTTCCTATGTGCCTAATTATACAAATTAATATGTAGGAAATAATATTATATTAACAACAATAATGATATAATAATAGTTAAATTTTTACTGCAGTAGCATAATGAAACAATAATAACAGATATAAATAATATTATTACTTAAAAAAAATTGTTACTTTATTTAAAAGCGTTTTGTTAATATAAAAATATTTGTTAAGAAGTTTTGATGTAATTAATTTCACTTTTTCAGAATATTTTTCATTTAGTGCATTTTTTAAATGATTTTTGAATTAGCCGCGGTCAAATGGTCATATCAAAATGTAATTTGCCAGGTCATATAAAGACTTGCAATTACACGCCGTCCTGTGAAAGTCATATATATATATATATATATATATATATATATATATATATATATATATATATATATATATATATATATACACAGGGCCTTTAAGAGGGAGGGGCAAAGGGGGCAAATTAACCCGGGCGCCAAGCTTTAAGGGGCGCCGGGTTATCTGTTATTTTTTTTGTTTTATTTTTTTTTTTACAATAAATAGAAAATATTTTAATGACTGACAATGTGAAATCTGCTTAGTTTTTGTATTTGATATTAAAACTTATAATAAAAATACCAATGAAAAAAATTTTATAATTAAAAAAATAATTTAAGTTTTATTATTATAATTAATTATAAACTATTTTTTACAAAAAAAGTCCGATTTATTGTAGTAGAATTAGACAGAAACGAGCGTATTCCGTAATACTATGAACAGTAAGCAACGCTAGCTCATGCTCGATTGTATGGAAGATGATGCGCTGTGGTAATTATAATGGTAACTGATCAAATATCGCTTTGAAGCAGCCAACACTAATAGAATTGAGAACTTTGTTAAGTAGCGCGTTTCATGGGTTCACTTCAACTTCTTGCAAAAAAACAAACAAGACTCAATATGTGAATTTAACAGAACTCAATATGTGTAAAATATACTGCACTTAATATGTGTGATTTGAAGGACTGTAGATCAGTAGGGGGCTCAAACAGTTCCTCTGAAGCTGAGCTAAATAAATTTCAAAGTGAATCATCAGAGTCAGAACGAGAAACTATATATCTAACAGTGGAGAATGTGATGTTCAACCGACTTGGTAATAATTAATGCTAACTCCTCATTGTGAAATGTTGTTTTGAGTCAAAAAGATCAAGATGTAATTATTTAAAAAAAAAAACTCCAGCGCGAATGCAGTTTTCAAAAGTAGGTAATAGTCCCTTCTTCGTTGGAATAGAAGAGATAGAGATCAATTGAGGAAACTCATAAATTGTGTAAAGCAGCATCAATCCAGCCCATTGCACTAAAATTTCTAAATGGATTGGAAAGAGTCTTACAAGCTCCATTGCTATATATTTAGAGTTCCAGAAGTGATTAAATTCTGAGACAGCTAATTGACAAACAATTCTTTTTTGAATTTTGAATGTGACTGTTTTCCTGGCTTCTAGGAATTTAGCTCTTCTAGATCTATCATTATATAGTTTTCTCAATATCAACTTCAATTATTAATTATTTATATAATTGTTGTAATAATTTAATTAAAATTGTTATACACAACTATGTTTACAGGTGAAAAAACACATGTGAATGATGAAGAAAATGGAAACTTTCTTCCTGGAATGGAGCTTATAATTTGCCACAACCCCTTCATTGCATCCCACTTAAAAAATGTAAAATATTATCAACAAGAGGTCTCCAGAATGAGTGCCCATTACCTCTCTCAGTTGTCTAAAAATGAGTTCCTCAAAGAATATGGTGGTGTCATCCGAAGTGCAGCTGTCGAAGAAATCCAGAATGGTATCTACTTCACAATCATAGTTGATGTTACCCCCAATATATCTCATACTGAGCAGATATCTTTGTTATTCCTTTTCTCCTATATGAAAGAGAAATTGATTGCTGGAATACCAAAGAACTATACTTGTGTGTTGAAACTTTTGAGATAAAGAAAGAAGTTGATAATGTGATTTTAAGGCTACGAATAAATGTTAAAAAATGTCGCGGTCAGGGATACGATAATGAGTCCAATATTTCAGGTGCTTACAAGGGAGCTAAAATGTTAATAAGGAAAAATTATTTGTGAATTTATTAAGCTCTGTACGTTTCCGGTAGCGCTCACAGTCTGAATTTGGCTTGAGTATATGCAGTTGAATCAGTCATCGAGACTTTAGACATTTTTAAATCTTGTTACTTATTTTTTAGTACAAGCCTTGCTCAATGGAAAATACTTACTGAAGCAACTGGGATTTCACTTCATAGACTTTCTATAACAAGATAAAGCTCTCTTATTGACTTGATCAAACCACTTGCCAAGAGAAATATTGGGAGCTCTTAAGCATGTCGTGAAAAACCACAACATGTTTAAGAGCTGCTTACAGGTCAAAATGTTTGACCAGTGAGTAGCTCAGCCAAACAAGAGACTTATAAATTATCATCATTTAAATTTGTATTGCTAGTTACGATTCTGTACAAAACCTTTAATACTGTTGATGACAAGCTACATTTGATTGGACAGCTGCTGGAAAATCTTAAACGAATTAGAGGCTCTTGGTTGCAAATTTTATAAAAGGCTGTAGTTGTAGCTGAACCACTAGGATTCGAAGCTGAACTCGCAACTAAAGGAATGTGAAAGCTTAAGCACTTTCAAGATGAGGCATCAAACACAGTTATATATATATATATATATATATATATATATATATATATATATATATATATATATATATATATATATATATATATATATATATATATATATATATATATATATATATATATATATATATACTCAAATGAAATTTTTCTATATTGGAATATTTTTGAGAAAAACAAATTTACAAAAGAGAATTAAGTTAAACTTTTTTTTTTTTAATTTTGCTAAATTAATTTTGTTTTTTGATTTTAATATTGATTGGTTTAAGTGATATTAAATGGAAAACTATATTTGATTATAGTAAAGCTAATAATTGCATAAGAAATAAAGTGTCTTAAACAAAATTTAATATGACCCTGTAAACACTTTTTCAAATTGTTTAGAAAGTGGTAGAGACAAGAATTAATGAACTTTTTAAAGAATTTTCCTGATATTTGATAATAAAAATATGGTTCTGAACTTATTAAAACCATGCTATGAGTCTTTTTTATGGATTGGCTAAAAAAGGTGCAGTTTTTAAAATATTTGGAAATATAACACCAACGAGCAAGAGATTAAATGGTTTTGAAAGAAATTTTATAAGCATGGAGTTTAAGGGTAATGCTATTTAATGCTATTTTTTATACGCATGAGAGCTATTTAAACTAGAAGCCTTGCAATCATTTAGAGAAAGAAAGAGATTTCATTTTGTCAGTAGGTTTAATAAATATTAAATCAAAGTTTGTTATTTTTAAATACTTATGGTATGGAAGTATTGAAAAAATGAATCTTTTTTTTTGAAATTATCTTGGGGTTAAAATAAAGAATGAGTTAAAACAATAAGAGATTTTAATTGGATTATGTGAAATATCTTCCAAAAGTATATTTGAAAAGTTCTTAATACCCTTTTATATAGCTCTCAAACCATTGATATTATTCAAAATAAATTTAGAAAAATTATTTTGCTTCTTCAGTAAATTTCTATACATTAGAGATTAATTTTTGATTGCTTTTCAATATTCTATAAAATATTTGTTGCACTAAGTAAATTTAAGAAAGTGAAAGCACTTATTGCTTGTATAAAATTATTGAAATTAGGAAATTACAAAATGTCACAAGAAGTTTGTTACAGTAATAATTTAATAATAAAAAAAAATACAAGAGAGCATTGCATCAAAAAGTAGTTCTCAAAATAAATAAGTTTAAGGGCTCTCTAGAAATTAATTAATTTATAATAAATTAATTAATTTCTATATCTAACTTGATAAATAATATAAGGCCAAAATTGAAAAAGCATTTTAACTATGGTAAGTATTTGAAATATAAAAAAGATATAGTTTCTCTATTTGTAACAAAATTTTATTGCTTGTTTATAAATTTTATTGCTTGTTTATAAATGAATCACTAAATTGGTTTTTATGCTGTGTCAGCAAACTGGTAAATAAGTAAATAAGTAAATAACTAAACTGGTAAATATTGTCAGGATGTTAAATCGTTTTATTCAAGACAGAAAACAAATTGTGTTTCTTTAAGGCAACACAAAAATTAGTAAAGGTTAACAATAAAAAATACAAATAAAAGCATAGAAAGAGAGCAGGGTGATTTTGAAATTTCTTTGTTAAATTTACAGAAATAAAAACAGGGGAAGGAAAAAGACTTTTTAAACTTTAAAATTAAATATATAGCTAAAAAAGAATGTTTTTTTATCGATACAATAAATCTATGCCTTGGAAGATTTTCAAATACAAGTAATGTCATGTACATTATTAATGACATGATGTGTACTTTGAGAACCCTCTAAAAGCGGAATTGTTTGAAATAAAGTTAAACAGTCACATTAAAAAAAAAAAAAAATTCGAACCTAAACATGAAGCATAAAAATTGTGGATGTCTTCAGGTTTAGGGCTTTATTGGGATTTTTGGTGAAATTAAATCAAACTAGTTACTTACCATTCGGACTACACATGTCGATTGTATCAATATATATTTAAAAATTATGTACGAAATTTGAAATTTTATATATTCTTTATAATTATTTCTTTATTTCAAAACTTAACTTAAAAAAAAAAAATTTTTTTAAAAATTGAAATAAAAATAAACAAAGAATTCGCCGTGGAGCAAATTTGTTATTTTTTTTCGGTAGGTAGCAAACAAGATTTATATTGGTTTAAGAACATCACACGTCAAGTTTAGTTTTGTAACCATTGAAACTCTATAAATAAAAATTCAATGTTTCCCAAGTTTGCACAATCATTTTGTCAATCATTTATTTATTTAAAAATTAGGGTATACTTTAATTTTTAAATATATGTTTAATAATAACTTTGATAATATAGCTGATTTTAGCAAATGAATGACGCAAAATAAATTTTTAATTCAAACTTTATGGGTAACAGCTATCATTAAGCAGAAGTTTGTTCTGTTTGTTTTTTTCAGTAGTTCTGTTTGTTTTTTTGATTAAAAAAAGTTTTTGATTGCTAAATTTAAGTATAAACTAGTTAAAGTAAAGATATACTTAAGTGCAGGGGTGGCGCCAGCATATTTTGGTCTTCGAGATATCTAACTTCCAGATATGGAGCAAACTCCAAACATTTATATGTTTATACTTATGTCAAATAAAGATGCTTTGCAAAAAATTGTAATGACTGGAGCCCGGGAACAAAAAATTCCAAAAATTTTACCCTCTTCCTGCCCCTAACGTGAGAGTAACAAGTTGATGAAATATTTTTTTTACAATTTTCAACTAGACTTATATTTATCGAGAAATTTTAAGTTTCATAGTATAACTTCTTAGCGTTCAAAAATTATGACCATATAAAATTTGTAAAACCCTCAAATTAAGGGAGATTTTAACTTTATATGGTCATAATTTTTGAACGTTGAAAGATAATTCTATGAAACTTAATTTTTCTCGATGAATATAAGTCTAGTTGAAAAAAGTACAAAAAATATTTTATCAACTTGTGTGTGGGAAGGAAGGGGGGCTTAGTCTGAAAGAAAGGGCTTTTTCGTTCCCAGCCTCCAATCATTGCAATTTTTTGCAAAGCCTCATTATTTGACATAAGTATAAACATACAAATGTTTGGAGTTTGCTCCATGTGCGGAAGTTAGTTATCTCAAACACCAAAAAATCCTGGATCCGTCACTGCATGCTATATAAAGATAATGGAGCATGCTTCATTAAGTAATTGTCGCCAACAGGTCTCAATATTTACTGTGTGCAACAAAAGCGCACAGAACAAAAAAGACACCAATAAAGTGGATCTTAAAGACATCAACAAAGTGGAAATTTTTTATTTAGAAAATGTGGCCTTTTTCTATAAGAAAAGCTTTATATTTATGCCTAATACGTTTAAACTTTGAGAATAATTGTTCTCCTAAATATTTATTTAATATTAGGCAAAAAAAATTTGCAGAAAAACTTTGATTTTGGTAAATACATATTGAATTCCATCCTGTATAACGGTGGTCTATATCTGTTGATGGGTCAACATCGTTACTTTCTAGTTTTCCGAAAAATATATGTTCCATGCAATAATAGAAAAATTAACTAATTTTAGATAGCAATCAATGGCTGCAAATAAATTTTATAGTGTGAGCTGCACGCAGAATAAACAGACATGCACAGTTTTTATTATATCATTTTTTGAATTCCATTGAAGCGCCAAGACATAGTTGCAATATTTTCATAAAAATAACCACAACAGTTGGAAAACCAATTTTGCAGTTATTTTAAAGGAAGTTTAAGATCATTGTCTTTCTACATTAGGAGAATTTAAATCCAAGCCTTCTCCTGTAGTATAAAAAGAATAAAAGAAAACGTCATTTAAAAAGAAAACGAGGACTGGACTTATGTTACAGCTTATATGTTTACACTTAAGTTTACAATAAAGATCCAAATCACAAAAAAAATCTTATACCAAATGACATGCCACCGCTTTTTATTGATAACATACTTCTAAAAGTAACAGTTACCAACTTTCTTTGTATTATTGATGAAAATTTGTCACGGAAAATTCAGATAAAAAATTTGAGTAGTAAAATATCAAAAAACATAGAAATTTTATACAAAGCAAAGAGTTTTTTAAATAAACATACATTACTTAAACTATATTATTCGCTCTTTCATTGTCACATAAACTATGCGAACATTACGTGGGGGTAGTACTAATAAAAGTAAAAACCACAAAAAAACTCGAACCACTTTATCGTCAACAAAAACATGTTGCACGACTTATTAATTTTAAAGATCGATTTACTTATGCCAAGCCTCTATTAATTGAAATGAAAGTTTTAAATATATATTTGAGCTTAATATTTTTAACGTTATATGCTTTATGTTTAAATGTAAAAACAATATTTCTCCGCTTTACCTTTTCATAATTTGTATAATAAAAAAGAAAATACTTTTTACAAAATGATAACGACGTTCGTCAATCAGCTTATCAAACTAATTCTGGATAATACTGAATTTCATTTCGAGGAGCATTACTTTGGAATAAAATAGTTTTAAAGAATTTTGACTTTTCTCAAGAGTTTAGCTATCACTCTTTCAAACAAAAACTTAAAAAAGTCATTTTTTATTAGATGATATATCTATATTCTTTTAATTCTTTTTTTTTAACTTTATATTAAACACTGCATTAATAAAATTTGTAATTTAACAATTTGTAAATAGTTGTTTAACACTTTTGTTAAAGGTTTCTAAAAACTGTATAACTTATCTATGTATTTATAACGGAACCTTTTTTCTTTTTTTCTTTAAATTTGTTTATGTTTTCAATTCTTAATTCTTAATAATTTGCTATCTTCAAGTATATTAAGTATATAAAGTTTATTTATTTATTTATTTTGAGAATATTTTATTAATACAAAATGTTAACACGAAAACTTTTTAGCGGTTCTCGACGACAAGACCTTACGGTCTTCTACGAATTCCCGCATTCTTTTATTTTATAATAGCGATCATTTATATATATATATATATATATATATATATATATATATATATATATATATATATATATATATATATATATATATATATATATATATATATATATATATATATATATATATATATATATATATATATATATATATATATATATATGTATATATATATATATATATATATATATATATATATATATATATATATATATATATATTATATATATATATATATATATATATATATATTAATTAATTTATAAAAATAAAGAAAACAACTTTTTTTGGTACTAATAGTTTCATGCCTAAAGGCAATCATCAGCCATGTAATACAAAACAAGAAACAAAAAAAAACCGTTAAAATATAAAGTTACAGGGGAATGTGCTCCGTCGTCAAAACAAAACAAAAACAAAAACCTAAAAACGGCTGCCTAATCACCCGTATCGAAATTCGAAAGGAGGAACTTGCTTTTATGTCTACATTTAGATACTAATTCATTCCTCTTATTTAATAAGTTATCATAGGTGTACGATATTATGAAATACTTTTCGTATAGACATAAGTTGCATCGTTTTATTGTGGGATTGTAAGATCTACAACGTTTTAAAATTTTCCATTTAATTGTCGGGTTTACTCCATTTTCCTTTAACTTCCATACTTCCTTAGACAACTCAGTATCGTTTTTATATTTTTCGATCTTAAAAGATTTTGTATGATTAGCGTATCTAAGTTTAAAAGCAGTTTCACTTACTCCAAAATACACTTTTTCAATCCCGTCTGGAGTGCCTGGATATAGAGTGGCTTGATACACTATGTTATTAACGAGACACTGTTGATTTAAAGGGCACTTGCTTTTAGTAATACAATTGCAACTTTTATCTGATTCTGGGGGGATGCTTTTCATAATATGACGGTTATGAAAGTTAACGATTGATTTGATGTTTGGCATACAACTGTAACTCACCTTTAGAGTATTTCTATTAAAAATCTTGTGGTATTTATGTCCAACTGGAAAGTGCTTGTCAATTAAATCCAAAAAGATTTTACCAATTTTAGTAGAAACATTTTTACTATATGGGGGGTTAAACCAGATAATATTGCGCTTACGGTTTTTTGGTAGAGGTTGAATGAGTTTCGGAATATAATTAAGTTTAAATTTGTAACCAGACTTTTTTAATGCATCCTGATACAAATGAGCAGAGCTTCGAAAGCTAGTGTCATTAGATGAATTAGCTGACAACCTTAATTCTATAGAACGAGGAAGTTGCTTTATTATGCTAGGAGGGTGATTGGAATCAACATGTATATAATTTAGTTCATTGATTGGTTTACAAAATGGTCTAAAAGATTGATCATTGAGATTAATCATTGAGATTAAGTGTTACATCAAGGAAGTTCACAGTTTTTTTTTGTATTTTGTATTTTATTGCAAATACAAAATATCATACAATATATATATATATATATATATATATATATATATATATATATATATATATATATATATATATATATAATATATATATATATATATATATATATATATATATATATATGATACAGCAAAATAGATAAAAATGATCTATTTATTCAGTTATTTATCACTCGCAACGTGATTAATTATCTTTCAAACGTGATTAGTCATCTTTTGCCAGCACATATTCATTTAAAAAAAAAATTAATTTGTGATCTTAAGTATTAGTATCTTAAACAGTTTTATGTGTATACTTTTCCATGGTGATCTTTAATTGTGATTGAGTCTTTGCAGACTGGAAAATGATAATTACGCTGTGGCTATCATAAAATTTTTTTAAAAGCTGTTTAGGAAACTGAGGGATTAAATGCAGTGTCTACCCCCTCTCAGTGTTTTAGTTGGGGGTGGGGGCTATCGCCCACTCTGCCCCTCCCCCAGTTTCTCCACCAGTGTATGTGTGTGTGTGTGTATTATAGAAACACAAACATACACGCAAAATTAGTAAAAATTAAATTAGAAATAAGAAAAAAGTAAAATAAAAACTAGACTGCTACTAAATAAAAGCCAAGTCTTTCACGTTACTTTAAAAAAATGGCAATGACTCTTTCAACATCTGGCATAGACCTTTCATGCAAAACAGAACTTTTTCCATGTTTTTTAAATCATGAATAGCATTACCCCACTCTTGATAAGGTTTGAAAACTAAATTTAATATTCTAGACTCATTTGGAATACTAGCACCTAAGAAAGTACAAGGGAAACAGTAAACTCCATCTTTTTTACTGGAATAAGCTAACCAAGAAAACTGGTTAAGCCATTCAAGTTAAAATGATATTTTCGTATTTGAAGATATTGGAAAAACATTTATAGAATTCGGACGAAATATTTTATTTACCATATCTAACAAAATTTCATCGTCTTTTCCAGCGGTGAAATGTTTTTCAACGGACAAGATACGTTGAAACATCATATAAAGAATTTGATTCTTTATAAAAAGAAATATCAACTGAACTAGAATTTAATGACTCGAATATTTTAGAATCTACTGAACGTTCAAAAGGCAACTCTATAAACTTTATAAAGTATTTTTTAAAGTTAGTTTTAGATTGGTTTTTGACATGTCTTGCAAAACTAACTTCTTCTGTGAAAGAAACATCACAGAATTGTTTTCTATTTGTTTCAGTTTTAGAACTAATAAAGTGTGAAGGATAAGTAATATCATTTTTTATACCCAAGTTCTTGCTATTATATGAAATTAGTCAGAATTTTTTATTACAAAATGGTACGAAAATGGTACAAAATGGTTAGGTGACCAGTGATTAGTATTTTGCATTACTGACATAATATCAGTATAGTACCATAAAATATTAAAAATACTTTGATTTTAATTTTATTAGGAAGGAAATGGAAAAATAACTATATTTAAAAGTTTTTTGAACTTTCCTAAGCCAAAATCAAGATACATTGACCTAATAGGAGTATTTAGAATTTATGACAAAGCAATTAGATATAGAAACGAAGAAAACTTTTTAGCTTGGCAGTTGATCAATGCTTCCATTTTAGTAATTTCAGAAGCTGATTCACAGTTAATCAACCTAAATTGGTCTGAAATTCAAAAGAAACACAGGCATACTAGAAAGATTAATAAAAAGAAAATTGTTTTCAAACTGTTTAACAAAAACAGAGTACCTCGCATAGAAAGAAACTTTTTCAAACAATTTAATCGTTTAAAGTTAGAAGCTTCAATATTTTAACACTGTTTTCAGAGACGAATTAAAAGAGAAGCTTAGCTGTACAGCCAATTTCCATCTTCGGGTGACTTTAAATAAAAAAAGGTATACTAAAACAAGCTCAGTTATTTTCTAGCAGCAAATATGTAGTACCTTTCACTTTAATAAAAGTATTTTACCTTAAAGCAATATAGTCTTTACTATCTTCTTGCTTCGGGATAAAACAATTCGTTTGAGAATGACTATATGGCAGCACTGACTATATGGCAGCTCTGGACACTTGTTATCTAAAATTTTCAATTCTTTAGATAACTGATATTTATATTTGCGAATATTTGCAAAGTCCAACGACGAAAATTACGAGCGAAGAACTTTTTTTCGAGTTTTTAATAAATATTTCATTTTTGTTGAATATCAGATTGTAATTTCTATTTTATATTTTTATTTAGGAAAAAAGTGAAAAAGAGATACACTTAAATTTGGCGGTGCAAAAAGACTAATGCATGCGGCAAAATGCGCATACCGATCCATTTATTTATACAAATTGTTTAAATAGCACATTTAAAACTGAACGAAGAGACTTTTTATAATAAAATAATTCAAATACTTTTTTGTTTAAAAAAATTAAATTTCAGAGTATAATGGCGTCAAATGGGATTTTAATTATTTATTTTTTACGGAAAAAAGTATTTTAATTTTTTTTTAAAGTTGTATTGTGCTGTATTTAAATATATAAAAACCAAATAATTTTTTTTTTAAGTTTTTTATATAAATTTATTTAATTAAAAAAAAATTTATTCTATTCTACACTGACTTTCAAAGTGAATGAAATACGCAAATATATGTGTAATAACACTTTATTAAAAAAACTAAAAGCAATCATTAATAACAATGAAAAAAACGTTGTTAAACATGCATACCAAAGCAATACGTAAAAGGATCTGAGTTTTATAGCACCAAAAAGTGCAGCTAAAAACTCAACTCAACCTCTAGTACCTCTAAACAACTCAACATCGTCACAAGAATAAAAAAAGTTTATTTTATTTGATTGGTTTTCTTTTTCTAATCCCCATGCATGTATGTGGATAGAGAGAAACTATACCTTCTACTCCCTATACAATACATCTTTTTATGTTGGCAAACTAGGATCTTTAGTCAGAATTTTAACTTTTTTATTGACTAGCTGGTTAATTGTGTAAAATTAGATAATCGAAGTACGTACTTTTAAACAAACCCCCTCCCATACGCTTTTGTACGCTATTTGAAGACCTCCCCCCTCCCCCCTATGAGCGTACGTACTTTATGGACGACCTCTAAATATTTAGTTAAATAATTCACACAAACTAATTGAAATGTTTTATTTCTATATTTACTAAACTTTATTATTGCTATGTTTTTATTCATCAGCTTTCGTTTTAGATTTGGAGGATCTTCGACGTTGGTGTTTTAATACTTCAACCATCATGGATTGTAGATTATTCAATTGTTCGTTGACGTCGTTAACTTCTTGCATTTGTTTTTCAATTTCTTTTAACTTTTCATCTATAGCCGTCACACTATCATGTATATCTCTAAGTTCTTCATTAACTCCAAACTCGTTATCCTGTTTGAAAAAATTTTAAAAAATTATTCAAAATATATATGTATATAAATTTATATATATACATGTGCAGAAGAACATATATATATATATATATATATATATATATATATATATATATATATATATATATATATATATATATATATATATATATATATATATATATATATATATATATATATATATACTATAGCATATTTATATGCGCAATTGCTCACTTTTTTTGCTAGCCTAAATTAAGTGAGCATTTTTAGAAAATGATGAGGGAAAACGAAGAATAATGAATGAAAATGTTGCTGACCCATACCAAACCCTCAGTCGATGTAGCAGCACTCCACGGCGAGTCAGGCTATTTGTCAGTCGATGTATGTACTGAGGCCCCCGGCAGCAGGCTATTTGACATTAGGTGAGTATGACATCATCATGCTTACCTAACTCAGCAGTGTAAGATATATACAAATTCAGTACTTCACAAATATGGAATGTTGACCAAACTAGTGTATCTACAGCTGTAAAATCTAGTAAAATTGTGGCTGCAAAGAGCAAGAGAAATGTTGGTGCTATGAAAATTGGGGAAAGAGGTACTAATGTCACCATGGTAACTGCTGTATCTGCCTCAGGAAATACAGTACCTCCAATGTTTGCATTCCCTCGCAAAAATTACAAAGATTATTTTGTTAATAATGGTCCACCGGACTGTAATGGGGTAGATAATGGAAATGGCTGCGTGACAGATATTGAATTCAAAATTTTTTTGCAGCATTTCATTAGGCATGTGAAGCCTTCAAATAAATATAAAATTCTATTGATTTTGGACAATCACTCTTCTTACTTGCATTTTGAAACAGTAAACTTAGCAAAGGAGAATGGAATAGTCATGTTGTCTTTCCCACCACACTGCAGCCATAAGCTGCAGCCACTAGATGTATCAGTGCTTGAACCTTTTAAAAAGTACCTATCAGTTGCACAAGATGCAAGTCTGAGAAACAATCCTGGAAAAACAATTTATGATATACCAAAAATTGTATCTGATTCATTGCAATTAGCTATAACAGGTACTAACATTACAAAGGATTTTCAAAAACTGGTGTATACCCGTACAATGCAAACATTTTTGCTGATAATTTTTTACCATCATTTGTAACAGATCGTATAGAACCAGCAAATCTCGTATTTGAGCAATCACACGGAGCTCATTCTGAAGTACGTTTAACATCATCTTCAGGTCAATCTGTCAAAAATAGTATTAATAAAAAGACAACATTACTTATTCCTGAAACACCTAAAGCATTTTCTCCAGAAACTGTGCGACCTTACCCAAAAACAGCACCAAGAAAGATACATTTGACAAGACGAAGAAAAAGGAAAGCTACTCTAACAGATACTCCAGAAAGAATTATATTAAAACAGCAGCAAACTAAGAAACCTAAAAAAGGTGAGTAACAAAAAAAATTATCTACCTGTCAATCCCTTTATTAATAAATCTCAAATATTAATAAAGAATGTGTTAATAAAGAGACTCAGTTACATATTATATTAGAAAAAGTTAAGAAACAAACAAACAAAAAAACTGAGAAGAAAGAAATTTTAAAGAAACCAAAAAAAGTTCTGCCTGTCAATCCTTTGCAGATCATGGTAATAAGGAGACTCTGCTGCTTAGTACATTAAAAAAAAAACAAAAAAAAATCAAACAAAAAAACCAAGATGACAAAAAAATTAATGACAAGTGCAGAGCACGATCATGCTTGTCTTGTATGTTGGGAAACTTATTCTGAAAGTCTACCAGAAGAAAATTGGATCCAGTGTCAAGGTTGCAATTAATGGTCTCAATTAAAAAGTGATTCACATTCTGGTCAAAATTATATTTGTATTAACTGTAAAATGGAAACTGAAAAAAGTGTTTCGTTATTATTTGTATCATAATATTAACAAGTTTTGTTTTAAAATGTTTTTAAAAAGTTGTGTTTAGTTTTAAGATTGAAAAATTTTGTTTTGTTTTTATTTTAATATCAGAATTATTAGTTTTTATATATTTTAAATAATTTGTTAAAATTGAAAGTATATATTTAATTTATAAGGAAGCTATGTTTTTTGTTTTATAACAGAGTTAATAGTTGTCACAGAAATGCATTCATTTTTTTATTGCTCAACTTACCCCATGCAATTTCTCAACTTACCCTGCGTATGTAAACATTACCAGCCATTGTAAATTTACCTCTTTTAAAATCGTAGCCAGATTAAAAATAAATAATAAAATATCAGCATTGTGCTTATTATGTGTACCTAATTCATTGCTGTCAGCGTGCCATTATCGGGCACGCTGACAGCAACACCAAATTTTGTTAAGCATTTGAAGGTAATTTTAAAAATTAGTATTAGTTAAAATTAATTCATCTTATCTATTACAAACAATATGCAATTAATTATCAACAAACAAATATTTAATGTTGCAAGTTAATATAAATCAAAGTATATAATACTAACAGTAAAGTAACAACTTTTAAAAAAAGGATTTGTATACTTTATAGAACTCGCATAAGAATCGCTTTGAAGACTATAAGGCACATAAGGCAGATGTTCAGAGAAAACGTAAGCTAGGCAAGGCTGCTGTAGGAAAAAAGGCTGATGAAGGCCCTGCTAATAAGAAGTTCAAACAAATTACCATGAAGCAGCATCGGAATTTTCACCACGATGTCATATTATATCGCAAGAAGAAGCTGACAACATAATTACAGATTATATAACTGAAGACATGCATCCATTGGCTATGGTTGAAAAACTGGCTTTTCGTCAACTGTTTTATGGGTTTAATCCTAACGAAAGTATCATGTGTCACAAGACTCTTAACAAACCTTTTCAAATATTCAAAGCTTTCTAAAATGCATGAAAAAATAAGAAGCAAACTGAAAGAAGCATCATTTGTTTGCACTTCTGCTGATATCTGGTCAGCCAATAGAAAAGGCTATCTTGGTATGACTGCGCATTATATTGAAATGCCACTAGATGTATCTAGTTCGGTTTCACAAGCCTCTGAAACCCTTGCTTGTCGTTGATTTTATGGTAGTCACACATATGACACAATTGCTGCAATGATTTCTAAAATCCATTGTCAATATGACCTTAACATAGAAGAAATCTCAGCACCTGTCACCGACAATGTATCAAATTTTGGAAAAGCATTCAGAGAATTTTTTGTAGAGTCAACTACAAGTGTAGCAGCAACTAATGTAAGTGTGACTATCACACCTAATACTTTTGAAGAGCAAGAAGACATGGAAGAGGATAAAGTTAATAAGGATGAAATTGATGTAATTAATATTGGAGACATTTTTTCAGTTTCACCAGGACATAATGGTGATGATTATGAGTCCATAGCCGAAAGTATTTCTTTGCCATCTCATGAAACATGTATCAGACATTCAAGCAATTACTTGAATTATGTGACAAACTTAATCATATATGTAATCCTTCGAATGCGCCAAAGTTTAAAAAGCAAGAATTAGAATGCCTACAAGAATAAGCCTTGGTCATAAAACCTGCTGCTACAACATTGGATACTTTTCAAGGGGATAATGTCTATTATGGCCATGTGTTTCAACACTTACATAGCTTACAGGTGAAATTGGAAGTGTTTCAAAGTTGCCAGTTAAATTATGCTTTATTATATGCTGCAGCATTGTTAGCAAGCATGAAAATTCATTTTGAAAAGGAACTGAGATTTGATGTGATTAATTCATACAGGATTGTTGCAGCAGTTTCGCACCCACTGTTCAAGTTACGGTGGATGCCAACAAATAAATGAGCTATATGTAGAGAAATAATTGAAAATACCATACTAGCTGTTTGTGAACCGTTGACAGCGACTAATCTCAATATAAACACTGACAGCACAATTGAAAATTTTGTTGTATAGAATGAATCCATGTTGTATCTGAATAATCAAGATACAGGTATAATCAAGACATCACACCTAATACTTTTGACAAGAATAATCAAGACATCACACCTAAACATCACACCTACAAGAATAATCAAGACATCACACCTAATACTTTTGAAGAGCAAGAGGATATGGAAGAGGATGAAGTTAATAAGGATGAAATTAATGTAATTAATATTGGAGAGATTTTTTCAGTTTCACCAGGACATAATGATGATGATTATGAGTCTATAGCCGAAAGTATTTCTTTGCTATCTCATAAAACATGTATAAGCCATTCATTGAATCTATTGGCAACTAATGATACTAAGAAGGCATGTGATACAGACAGTATGTTTAAGTATGCCTATAGTGCAGGTCTGGCAAAATGCACTTCTAAATATGAATGCAACTCAAAGAAGTAGTAAAGCATCAGATGCTGTGTCAAATATTACAGACAATGCAATGCTCTGCCCCGTGGCACATTGGAATTCTCAGTACGATGCTATCAAGCGATTACTTGAATTATCTGACAAACTTAATGATATATGTAATGCTTTGAATGCGCCAAAGTTTAAAAAGCAAGAATTAAAATGCCTGCAAGAATATGTCTTGGTCATGGAACCAGTTGCTACAATATTAGACACTCTTCAAGGGGATAATGTGTATTATGGCCATGTGTTTCCACATTTGCAAAGCTTACAGGTGAAATTGGAAGCGTTTCAAAGTTGCCAGTTAAAATATACTAAACTATTTGCTGCAGCATTGTTAGCAAGCATGAAAATTTATTATAAAAAGGAACTGAGATTTGATGTGAGTAATTCATACAGGATTGTTGCAGCAGTTTCGAACCCACTGTTCAAGTTATGGTGGATGCCAAACAAACAAATGACCTATCTGTAGAGAAATATTTGAAAATGCCATACTAGCTGTCTGTGAACCGTTGACAGCGACCAATCTCAATGTTAACACTGACAGCACATTTGAAAATTTTGTTGTATATAATGCTGACACTCCAAATACTGTTGCAGTGATTGGCGCTCAGCAAGAATGCATGTTGATTCTGAATGATAAAGGTACA